AACAGAACTTGCTGTATCATTGCCCTTTAAATATCTTTATACGTTTCCGATCAAATGAATGTATCAGTTTTGAGGATTTTCCACCACTATTGACCTTAAACGTCTGCATATTCTCTTGTTATGACAAAGAGATGCCCTTTACTTCTTCCTGAAACTGAAGTTTAAAGCTAATATCTTAACAGAAGTAGGCATACCCTTTTTCCTATAGCCAGCAGATTCTTCAATTAAATGAAATTTCAATTTGGAGAATTTTCTGGAGTATTCATGCTTGAGGTGTATGTAATGCCTGAAATCTTGTCTTGTATAATAATCCATAAAACATGTCTAGAGGATTTGCTAGAAATGTAAGTACTTATATGATTTTTTAGTTGGTGTGAATTGCTCAGTTTCTAACATCAAAGTCAATTATTTAATTTTTGTTTGAATTTATCTAATTGCTTCCTGTGTACATTTTTGGATTATCATTTTCTTGGAAATTGGCTATACATTTTATTGGCTCAAGCAGTGTCTAGAAGATTTTTCAAAATTTTATAAGACTATTTTACAATGCTATCTTATTTTTCAGCACTCTTTAAACTGTTCATTGCCTTATTTTTCATCTCCGAAATTAGTTTTGAATATAATGTGCTTGGCTGTGGTATCATCTGTGATATTTGCTTTGTGATACACAAGTAATCTAACATTGTTTCTTATATTATTACTCTTGAGTGTAGAATTTTTATTTTGATATGTAATAAAACCCCCCTTGGATTGCTCTGTCAACATGCCCTGTATTAGTGTGTTGTAGAAATATATGACGTTGTCATTTATATGGTTACTTTAGATCCGGGTCTTCTTTTCCGTACCTGAAAGCATAGCAGCAAGAATCGAGTTGCCAGATTCCTTCTACAACCTATCAGTTTCAGAGCTGAAGAGAGAAGCTAATACAAGGAAGAAAAAGATTGAAGAATCGCAGCTATTGATTCCCAGGTCTTACAGGGAAAAGCAGGCAAAAGCTGCCAAGAAGAAATACCGCAGAGCTATTATCCGCATCCAGTTTCCTGATGGAGTGGTGCTCCAAGGTGTTTTTGGTCCATGGGAGCAAACAACTGCTCTCTATGAGGTTAGTATTTACAGTTATTAGTTATTGTGTTTCGGTTGTTTATGAGTGCGCACACTTATTTATCTGAGTCTCATGTAATGAAATGGTACTTGGATAAAATTTTCAGACTCGGGATTGTTCAGTAATCGAAAGTTGTTTTCTGCTCTACTAGATTCAAGAATAGTCAAAAAGATGTGTTTGCTTTGTAATTAGAAGATGATATTTGAAAAACACGAAACTCATTTTTGATCATTTATCATATCAAAACCTTCCTGCCGCTAACTTTATTTACTTTAGTTTTTCACAATTTCTTTTACCTCACAAAGCACCATCTGATTTTTTTTGCATTTTTTATCTTTAAACAATACAATTCTACACATTTAACGCTAGAGATGTATATCAACTTTGTGTTATTCTGGAAATTACTAAGAAAGTTTGTGCTTTTATCCTCTCTAATAGTATATCTTAGCTATAACTTAAATTTTATAAACACAGATTACGAACTTATGCGCATGTGTATGACTTCAAAGTGATAATCATTCTCTTTGGTTTTCAGTTTGTGAGCTCGGCACTGAAAGAACCCAGTTTAGAGTTTGAGCTGTTACATCCTGTATTAATCAAACGCCGAGTGATTCCAGCAGCAGGACAGAAACCTACCACATTAGAAGAAGAGGATTTGGTCCCGTCGGCGCTTGTCAAATTCAAACCTATCGAGACAGATTCTGTTGTCTTCACAGGGCTCTGTAATGAACTCCTGGAAATTATTGAACCCCTTGAATGATGCAGAAATTGCTCCAGTATTGTTCTTCACTGTTTCTGTACCGGGGCATATCGCATTATGATGGTCTCCTCGCATTGATCTCACAAATCTTCAGCTGGTTTTGCTTATGTCTGATCTTTTTTTGGACCCTATAGATATAGAAAGTAGACTGTAAATGTCAATTTGTGCATTTGTGTTATTTATGTTCTTCACCAGTACCAAAAATTGATTCTTTTTTTTTTTTTTTTTTTTTAGATTTGGAATAATTGTAATTGTGCAATTAAATCAATTTGATATTTGCTTTGTGAAAGAATATAAAGCTTTATTTTCAGATATATCATATATCCAAAGAGTATATCAATTCGTCCAGAATTCTGGTTTCAAAATCAAGTTAATTAGAGGGTCTTCAATCAACACAGAATTACTTAATAATACAAATAAAAAATGTTAAAATTTGATTAAAAAAAACAATTATTTCTGAAATNTTGAGGGATTATGATGCCTAGAATCAGAACAGAACTTGCTGTATCATTGCCCTTTAAATATCTTTATACGTTTCCGATCAAATGAATGTATCAGTTTTGAGGATTTTCCACCACTATTGACCTTAAACGTCTGCATATTCTCTTGTTATGACAAAGAGATGACCTTTACTTCTTCCTGAAACTGAAGTTTAAAGCTAATATCTTAACGGAAGTAGGCATACCCTTTTTCCTATAGCCAGTAGATTCTTCAATTAAATGAAATTTCAATTTAGAGAATTTTCTGGAGTATTCATGCTTGAGGTGTATGTAATGCCTGAAATCTTGTCTTGTATAATAATCCATAAAACATGTCTAGAGGATTTGCTAGAAATGTAAGTACTTATCTGATTTTGTAGTTGGTGTGAATTGCTCAGTCTCTAACATCAAAGTCAATTATTTAATTTTTGTTTGAATTTATCTAATTGCTTCCTGTGTACATTTTTGGATTATCATTTTCTTGGAAATTGGCTATACATTTCATTGGCTCAAGCAGTGTCTAGAAGATTTTTCAAAATTTTATAAGACTATTTTACAATGCTATCTTATTTTTCAGCACTCTTTAAACTGTTCATTGCCTTATTTTTCATCTCCGAAATTAGTTTTGAATATAATGTGCTTGGCTGTGGTATCATCTGTGATATTTGCTTTGTGATACACAAGTAATCTAACATTGTTTCTTATATTATTACTCTTGAGTGTAGAATTTTTATTTTGATATGTAATAAAACCCCCCTTGGATTGCTCTGTCAACATGCCCTGTATTAGTGTGTTGTAGAAATATATGACGTTGTCATTTATATGGTTACTTTAGATCCGGGTCTTCTTTTCCGTACCTGAAAGCATAGCAGCAAGAATCGAGTTGCCAGATTCCTTCTACAACCTATCAGTTTCAGAGCTGAAGAGAGAAGCTAATACAAGGAAGAAAAAGATTGAAGAATCGCAGCTATTGATTCCCAGGTCTTACAGGGAAAAGCAGGCAAAAGCTGCCAAGAAGAAATACCGCAGAGCTATTATCCGCATCCAGTTTCCTGATGGAGTGGTGCTCCAAGGTGTTTTTGGTCCATGGGAGCAAACAACTGCTCTCTATGAGGTTAGTATTTACAGTTATTAGTTATTGTGTTTCGGTTGTTTATGAGTGCGCACACTTATTTATCTGAGTCTCATGTAATGAAATGGTACTTGGATAAAATTTTCAGACTCGGGATTGTTCAGTAATCGAAAGTTGTTTTCTGCTCTACTAGATTCAAGGATAGTCAAAAAGATGTGTTTGCTTTGTAATTAGAAGATGATATTTGAAAAACACGAAACTCATTTTTGATCATTTATCATATCAAAACCTTCCTGCCGCTAACTTTATTTACTTTAGTTTTTCACAATTTCTTTTACCTCACAAAGCACCATCTGATTTTTTTTGCATTTTTTATCTTTAAACAATACAATTCTACACATTTAACGCTAGAGATGTATATCAACTTTGTGTTATTCTGGAAATTACTAAGAAAGTTTGTGCTTTTATCCTCTCTAATAGTATATCTTAGCTATAACTTAAATTTTATAAACACAGATTACGAACTTATGCGCATGTGTATGACTTCAAAGTGATAATCATTCTCTTTGGTTTTCAGTTTGTGAGCTCGGCACTGAAAGAACCCAGTTTAGAGTTTGAGCTGTTACATCCTGTATTAATCAAACGCCGAGTGATTCCAGCAGCAGGACAGAAACCTACCACATTAGAAGAAGAGGATTTGGTCCCGTCGGCGCTTGTCAAATTCAAACCTATCGAGACAGATTCTGTTGTCTTCACAGGGCTCTGTAATGAACTCCTGGAAATTATTGAACCCCTTGAATGATGCAGAAATTGCTCCAGTATTGTTCTTCACTGTTTCTGTACCGGGGCATATCGCATTATGATGGTCTCCTCGCATTGATCTCACAAATCTTCAGCTGGTTTTGCTTATGTCTGATCTTTTTTTGGACCCTATAGATATAGAAAGTAGACTGTAAATGTCAATTTGTGCATTTGTGTTATTTATGTTCTTCACCAGTACCAAAAATTGATTCTTTTTTTTTTTTTTTTTTTTTAGATTTGGAATAATTGTAATTGTGCAATTAAATCAATTTGATATTTGCTTTGTGAAAGAATATAAAGCTTTATTTTCAGATATATCATATATCCAAAGAGTATATCAATTCGTCCAGAATTCTGGTTTCAAAATCAAGTTAATTAGAGGGTCTTCAGTCAACACAGAATTACTTAATAATACAAATTAAAAATGTTAAAATTTGATTAAAAAAAACAATTATTTCTGAAATTTNTTTTGGTATTGTTACAAATTTTTAATGTAAAAAATAATTAATTATTTGATTAAAATTGTCAATCGATCATTCAAAATGTCTTCTATCCCTGCTATATTTGATTGTTAGAATCATTATTTTAGGGTATTAGCCTTGGTTTCTCAAAGCTAGAAGAAGAAAAGTTTGTGCCTCAAACCTTAGGAGTGACGATGTAATGAACCCGTTTAAAAATTAAAGAAAAGAATACACGTCTTGACTAAAAACCAATACAAACATTGAAAGTGAACCACCCACTTATGACGGGATGGATAAAGGGACGTATGGTTGAAAGCACCCCCATTTTTTAATTCAAGTTGTACCAAGAGGTGCTCAATTACCTTACCTAAAAAAAAGATTGAAAGTGAGATAAATTACTTATAATATATTTCCATTATTTTTTTCCATCTCTCAAATATAATAAAATACATAACTAAAGATAATAAAAAATTAAAATTAAAACCCCTCTTTCAACAATCTTTATATTAAAACTCTTCAATATATATTTTTAATTGGAGTGCTTACTTGCCCTTATTTTTTTTAAATGAACTATAATATTAAAATTGTCTAGGATGAATCATCCTTCTGAATTGGCTCAATTTGACATTGGAATATTTGGTTATCTAAACTTTAAAAAATGTCACCTTCCACCCGGATTAAATTAAAGAATTTGCAAATTACATAATAAAATAAATTAATGCAACTTAAAATTTTATAATCACCTCGTTAATATAAAACAAACGAGATTGAATTCCCCATTTGCCTTAGTTGCCTAGAGGAATCGAGTGCCTGGTCAACTCAACGTGGACCACAACAGATTAATTAATTATTTTAATTTGTTAATTAAAGTAAAAATTAGTGCAATTAAAATAATATTGTTTTGGTTTGCACTACAATATGAAGTTCTCCATGTGAAGGTTTTCACTATAAAGTAATATTGTTTTGGGCAATAATTAAACAAACGTAAATTAAGACAAGAAGAAATGTTAAATTTTTCTTTCTTGCTCCTTTTGTTTATTTATGGTGTTTAGGTGTGGAATTAATTAACCAATTTAATTTTATATTTAGATGGCTAAATGACAATGGAAAGGAAAGAGCCTTTTGCCTTGCTGAAATCTAAAATTTATGTTCCAACTATCGTATTTTTGTACGTACATGTAGCAATTTGATCCTAATTGATTAATATTGTTTGTTTTGGACTTTATTTAGAAGAATTAACTTTTGAGCTTCACAGCTCAAATGAGTTTTATCTAGAACGCGTCCACTAAATTGAGAGAGTTCTTATAGTAAAACCTTGTATATTTGGCCTGTTTGTAGTGAGCAATCACTGATTTGAGAAATGTCATCAATTCAACCATCAAATTTATCAACAATTTCATCAATTTAATATCTACAGAATATATTAACCTCTCAATATTATTGACATATTTTCAATATTAGATTGATTGAATTTCCTTGAATAGTAAAAACATTATTTTCTTACAAACTTCAACAGAATAACCTAACAATCCATAAAAAAATGGGGATAGGGTCGTATTTCCGAAACTAGTGGGTGCTCATTACAAAAAATGGCCAAACACAGAAGGGTTAGGATTATTTTTCTGAAACCAGCTGGTGTTCACTAACGAAAGGCCAAACACAAGGGACTTTAATAAATGAACCCAAATTGAGAGCACTAAAGCTTTAATCACTGACGATGTGAAATGTGACAGAAACTGTTATGTGAAATCATAAGCGGATTTGGAAAGTCCTATATGATGACACATTATTTAAGACGTAAACTTTATGATATTAAGATATTTAGTATTAATCTTTATTTTTTTATGGGTAAATATTTGACATTTATGGTTGGCTTTTTTTGTATATACATGTTTATTTAAAATGCTTATATCAATGAAAATTTTATTTTTGTGGAACCCTGGTGAGATTTATGCATTAGCATCTATTATCAGTTGTGGCCACAAATCGTGAGGTTGTAGATTTCCTAGCTAGCTTTGTTGATTTTTTGGGTTTCTTATTAATTAATGTTGCAAAATTTACATTTACATTTTTTTTTTATTTTTTTTTATTTTTTTATAATTTGGGTTTGTATGTAATAGAGAAGTAGTCAATAACCTCTCATATGTTTTCTTTATTTAAGTTTAAATTTGTATTTTGAATTTGTGATTGAACAGTATCTGTTATCTGGTATCATACTCTTGTATATATACCTTTGATAATTGAATGAAAAAGTACATAGCCAAATTCTTTCTCCTTTGTTCATCCTTGCTTCTGTTTTATGGTATCACTCGTATAAGAGCAATTTTAATTGGTGTCGCCATCATCCTCTCACAATCATCCGCGTCACTGTCCTCTACATTCCCAATCAATAAAGC